ATTGAGATGAATAATTTAAATGAACAAATATTTATTGCATCTTTTGGTTTTTCTGAATTATTATCTAAAAGGCAATGTTTCTAAAAGCTGTTATATAAAATCATTACCATTAATATGTTAAAATTCATTATTACTAAAAAAACGACATTGTGATCTAATGATTATTAATCCCTTATAAATGTCTTATCATAGGAGTTTACGGTGTGGGATTTGTTCAAAAAAATAAAAACTCATTATTACTAATATATTATATAAAAATATTATCTAAAGGTACGCATGCATGCTCAAACTTAAAGTGTGACAAATAAAATCAAATAAAATCATATAAAAGGGTTTAAAATAAAGTTATAATATATATGCCACCCAACCTTTTTGTTGGCCAAAAACAAAGAAATTATCATTGCTTTGAAATCAATTACCCCGTCTAATGCTTACACATCACGAACCGAAAAAACTAACTAAAGCACTAAAAGTCTAAAACTTAAAGAACACGTAGGACAGGTAACCAGTCCTCATCATATATGCCATCCAAATGCCAAATTCGATACGGCAGAGGTTTTCTTTGGAGTAATAATAGAGGAGATAAAAATTTAGGGTGAATAAATTTAGAATTAATAATATAGTATAATTTATATTATTAAATTAATAAATAAATAAAATATAATGAACTTTTAAAAAAATAAAAAAATTAGTTATTAAATAATATAAAATTTATTTCTAATATTTTAAATAATGTTATTTATTTATTTATTTATTTTTTTGAACAGATTTTACAAGAGCTGAGTTCGAACTCCAAGCTGGGGAAAGGAGAATGCACCGTGGGTGACTTTTGTCACTTGACCCGAAGGGGTCGATGCAAAATAATGTTATTTATAACATAGCATTAATCTCAAACTTTAATTTTATTTATTATTATTCGTTTCTTTTATATCATCACTTTTCTCATATGTACGTAACCCGATTGAGACATCAACCATAAAGGATATTTACGGTTATAATCTATAATAATATTATAATTATTAAAATTATAAAATATTATCTTTAAAAGAATTAATTTTATTTATTTTAATTGATAAAAAAATAATAATTATAATTATTAAATAAAAAC